CCTTGCCCTCTCCTAAATATATAGTAATATAGCTATTAAATAGGCCCTTATATAGCCAATTAGTCCTAATCTTCTAGTAGTTCTCGCAAGTATTATTACCCTCCTAGTAGATAGCACCGAAGCTAAGAGTAGCTATAATAGTTAGGAGGTAGTAGTTGCTTCTATACAAATTAATACTAAACTGTGCTCTATTAAGAACTTCTAAGATACTACGATTAATTTGAAAGCGCTAAATATTAGAGTCTTAGCGCTCTACTCCTCTAAAATAGAGTAAGGATTTCTATATATATTAATATTCTATAGGCAGCGCTAAAAGGTTAGGAGCAGATATAGTACCTTAATTAAGGTATTAAACTTATTATAAGTTATCTCTCCTTCCTTTAGTAGGTTGCTCTTCTTCTATATAATCTTAAAGCTAATTATACCCTTTCTATTATTCTTATTAAAGTAGAGGTTAGCTAACTTAATTGCCCTAGCAATCTTAGCCTACTTAGTATATATAGGACCCTTGTTTTAAGTTATATTAGGTCTCCTAGGATCTTAGCTACTAGTACTACCTCCTAATCTAGTTAAGAGGACTATTGCTATCTTGCTCTTTCTGCCTTGCTCTTTCTTTCTTACTAAGTCTAAGTTAGTAGAGGAGGGTAGGTAGTAAGGAGCCTATTACTAGTAGAGAAGGTACTACTACTAGTATTAGGTATATTAGACTAAGGCTGGATTAGTATTAGATTAGTATTAGAAGGTAGTAGTTGCTAGTTGCTAGTTGCTAGTTACTAGTTGCTAGTAGTAGTTATAGTATATAGAAGAGAAAGTTAGTAGTTAAAGAAATAGTTCTTTTTAACTACTAGCTTAGGAGCTTAGGCTATATATAGCTATAGCAATTACAAGCTTTATTATATATACTAGAAGTAAAGGCAAGAAGTAAAGCTACTAACTAGTATATACTAGAAAGTCTAAGGTATTACTAGCTGTTTTGTTAGCTAAAATTATATTAACAAAGCTTGATTTATAGTTAAAAGTTACTAGAAAGTAAGGTAGCTGCTAGCTAATGCTAGCAGCTAGTAGCTATAAAAGCATATACTTAACTAAAGCAGAATACTAAATATATATAAAAGAGTTGTTAATAAATTATAAATAGCTATAGCAACTAGCTCCGTACTAATTAGAGATTAACCTCGGTTAGAGCCGAAGGTATATACTTAGATTGCAATCTAGTTAATTAATCTAATCTAGAGAGGCTAGATTGTAATTCAATTCAATCTACTACCTTAGGAAGCAATTTAATCTAATTCAATCTAAGGGTCCTAGCAATCTAATTCAATCTAGGGGGTCCTAGATTGATTAAATTGATTGTAGACTACACTGTTTTATTGTTATTGTTATTGTTATTGTTATTGTTATTGTTATTGTTATTGTTATTGTTATTGTTATTGTTATTGTTATTGTTATTGTTATTGTTATTGTTATTGTTATTGTTATTGTTATTGTTATTGTTATTGTTATTGTTATTGTTATTGTTATTGTTATTATTATTGTTATTATGCGCCTATCGCTTCTTTTCTAATAGTACTAAACCCTCTCTTTCTATCCTAGGAACTTTACGATCTAAAATTATTTACTATTATAGTCGTCCTGTTCTGCCCTTCTCCTACGCTTAGTAGGCAACGTCTACCGTACTATGCTTTATAGGAAGGTTGAGAATGCTAAGACCTAGGAAATCCTACTACGAATTTGCTAGCAAATCGACTATTTCTTCCTATTCTTTAGCAATACAGCCCTAAATCTATGTTGTTAGTATAGCCGTTAAATATACAGTCCGAGGTATTGTTGTTAGTATTATTCTAGCTCTTCTACGCCGTCCGCGCCCTTCCTACCGCTCTGCCTACCTATACCGCTCGACGCGCTAAAGAATACTTCGATAGCGGATACGATATAATCGACGTTGTATTAAAGACAGGTACGAGCTAGTCGACCGTATATCGCTAGAAGTTCTGTTATAATTAGTTTAGTAAGGTGTTCTTACTATCGGAGCGGTTTAAACTGAGTCGTAAGAGGAAGATAACGAAGGAGATAGAAATCTACCTCCTTAAGTACCTCTTAAAGCGACCTAAGGCGTACCTTAAAGAGATATATATAGCGCTATTCGATCGCTTCGAGATTAAAGTAGATCCGGCTATAGTATAGCGTTGTTTGTATAGGATTAGATAGATAAGGAAGGCCTCTCGGAAGGTCGCGAAGGAGCGCAATCCGATAGCAAGAGCCGCCTAGTATACTAGGAGCTAGAAATAGCCTATCGACAAGTTAGTATTTATCGATAAGACGGCTTCTAATAAGAAGAGTAGATACCGCAAGTTTAGATAGTCTCCGAAGGGGATTGATTGCTACGACTATTAGTATACGTAACGGCAAGAGCGATTCTTAGTACTTCTAGCGCTTACAATTAATAGATACTTGCCCTGCACCCTCTGTATCTAAGGCGCTGTTAATTAGGTTACCTTTAACGACTAGATTAAGAATAAAGTGCTGCCGCTTCTTAATAGAAGTATAATTATTATAATAGATAACGCTTTAATCTACTATAGCGAGAAGGTCGAGTCGATAATCCGGTTAGCTAGCTATACTCTTAAGTACTTACCGCTATACTCTCCTAATTTGAACCTAATTAAACAGACCTTCGTATTACTAAAGAAATAGCTAAAGAAGAATAAAGACCTTATAGCCGACTTCGAGTCCTTCTAAGACTTCCTTATATAGGCTCTAGACTACGTTAGAAAGATAAATATAAGAGGCTTATTTAAGCATAGCGGATACAACGTTTAAGGCTTTAAAGAAGATAAAGCCGAGCTTACTAGCAATCTCTAGTCGCTTTATATTTAGCTACTATAATATCGATAATATGTCTTAGTATCTATAGGATATTAAGATAATATATATCTAAAGCTCCGCTGCGATTTTTATATATATAGCTAGTATAGTGTTAGCGTAGCAAAATTAATAATGTAATAGTGCGTACTACTAAGCCCTATACTTCCTACGCTTTTACTTCCGGAAAGCTCTCTCGAGGCAACGACGATAATAGCGGTCTACGTAACGGAGCAAATAACAAGCTATTAAATTCGAAGATTGTAAGCAAACGCCTAGCTAACCTAAACTAATAAGAATAGCCGTCGCTCCGTTACGTATATCGTTATTATCTTACTCTCTCCCGGCAAGCTTTTCCTTCTAAAAGCGCTTTAGACAGTTACGTAACGTGCCTAGGTCGCCTTTAAAGAAGCTAAGCTCCTTCTACTCTCTTAAAGGAAGTTAATATAACTAGTTACAGTTATATCGTTTAGTTATAAAGTGTGCTTCTATCTTTAAGAGCTATTCTTTGTCTTCCGGCTCTTTCTATTTATACTATATCGCTACCTATATAAAGAACTGTCTAAGTAGACTTCTTAGCGGTATATTAAGCTGCTAAGCAACCTGCTTTAGAATAGGCGAGTCTTGTTATTATATAGGCCGAGCTTCTTACTAAGCTTCTTACTAAGCTTCTTACTAAGCTTCTTACTAAGCGGTAGGAGCGCCTAGTTGCTAATTAATTAAGGTAAATATAGTCTCGAAGAGCTTAATATAGTTAATAGCCGGCGGCGCTAAATATACTAGCATAGAGCGTAACCTTGCTAGAGTCTATAATTAGAAGGGCTCCTTTATAGTAGTAAGTAGACTATAAGGCTTCCGAGACTGCTATTTCTCCTTATATACCTGTATCTTAGCGAATACACTATATAGTAGCTTCCGAAGCGTTACACCCTCTTCCTTTATAGCAAGGGCGTATAACTATAGCTTTATAGCCTTACTATAGAACTAGTAATAATAGCGCTTAATATCTAGTAGTCCTTTAGGTCTATAGTAGTAGTTGTTATAGTTCTCGCAGCTAGGGAGTGTATATATATAACTAGCAAGAAGCTTAGTAGTATAGTTGCCTCGTTTCTGCTCCTTAGTAATAAAAGTAAGACTATCGATAGCCTACTAGTCGTTTAGCTTCAATTTGCTAACTTTGAGAATAGCTCTAGCTCTAGCGTCCTTAGCGGTAGTCTTAAACTCGATATTAATCTTAATCTTGTCTCTACTATCGTTGTTTAGCTCTACGGCGTAGTCGAGAGCCTTATTGTAATCGTCCGCTATAGAAGAATTAGAAACAACCGTAGAAACAGCCGTAGAGGTAAGAATAGTAGATACCTTACCTTTCTTCTAACTCTGCTTAAACTAGTTACCCTTCGCTACTTTAGCGGCGGATACGATTAATATACAATTACCGATATATAGTTGCTTCTTCTACGCTTCTTTATTAGCCTAATAATACGTATCTTTAGCGTACTAAGTACTAGCGCTATTACAATTATAGTTCTCGAAGGCTAGCTCGTTATTGCTAGTAAGAAGGCGCTAGGTTTGCTTATACTAGAGGTCCTCGCGAGGGTCGTAAGATAGCGTAGATATATCTTCCTTATTTATCTATTAACTACTAACTAGGCGCCTTCCTTCCTGCCCTCGTAATAGCGAGCTATTACTAGCTAAGCGCGTTAACTCGCTAACCTTAACTTAACTAGCTATATTAACCTCGCCGTTATTACCTTCTTCTATAGCAGTAGCGATATTATTAACCTAGAAGTCCTTCTACGCCGCGGCCTTAAAAGCGGTTATATTATTAAACTTCTCCTACTACGCTATCTTCTTCTACTTTCTACCGACTACCTTCTTCTTCTTACCCTTCTTAGTAGGCGACTCGCGCCGCTTAATCGCTTCCGTATACGCTAGTAGCTCCTTCGAAGGCGCCTTTCGAGAACGCGACGCGCGTTCCGCTATTACGTCGACGTAAACGCGCTAAATATCGGTAGCTATTTTCGTAGCGATAAGAATAGCGAGTTTAGGTAGTAATAAGCTATAGTAACACATATTAAGAGGCTGGTTTATAAAGAGGCGGTATAATAATAGTAATAGAAGGCATAGAAAGGCTATTCTTAGTGTTCTACGAGGCTCAAAACAAGAGGTCTTAGCATTCTCAACCTTCCTGCAAAGCACAGTATCCTCTGCAATAACTCTCCAACTGTAAAAGGCTTCGACATGACTGAATCCATGCCCGCCTCCATAGCTTGATCTTGCTGTTCCTGTCTCACATTTGCTGTCGTGCCAATGATATCCAAACGTCTGGTAATCTGGCCCTGATTCTCAAGTTCACGGATTTTGCGAGTGCATGTCAAGCCGTCCATGACAGGCATTTCCTACAAAAAAGTCAGAAATCAATCATTGCACATATCATCTGCTACGCGTGGCTTACCCAATCCATGAGCAACAAATCGATCTTCTCTGCCTCCGCGTCATCGCTTCGCGACTGCCAGCAGTCGCTACCTTCCAGAATATTCAAGGCCTCTTCGCCATGATTCGCGACGATTACCGTGCACTTCGCTTTCCTCAGCTGGTTTGCCAGAATTTTCTGATTGACCAAGTTGTCCTCTACAAGCAAGATGTGAAAATTGTTCTGATGCTGCGATTGTTTCTCCTTGGGAAACTCTTCACCTGCCGGCGCCCTTTCCGGATGAGCCTCGAGTTGCCGATTTCCGTCAACGGGAGGAGAGGCAAGCATGATATCCGCTGTCTCCAGTTCTTTGTCGTCATCTTCACGACTCGGACCGTCCTTGTCTTTGATTCCTTCTGCCATGACCGTATCTGTGGGAGTTTGAGCTGTACGCGAATGGCTCTCCGATGTCGTTCTCACTGGCTTCGGATCAGGAGGAGCGCTAGAGCTGCGTTGTGGTAGATTTGGGCGTGAATTGACGGGTTTCGCCTTGGGAGCCGGGTCTGCTAGTTTCTGCTCTGCAGAAAGGTCTGTGAATTTAACAGTCGTGGTCTGGATGTAGAAGCCAAAGACTGATCCTTCACCACTTCGAGACGCACATCCTACACCGCCTCCTTGCTTTTCCGAAAGCTGTCGGCAGATATAGAGCCCAAGTCCACTTCCTCCATATGCGATGTCGGTCTTCGGTCGGGCCTGTGAGAACCGCTGAAACAACTTCTCCTGCTCCTCCTTTGTCATTCCACGACCAGTATCTTGGACGCAAAAATACAGGTAGAGCTTCTCACTGCCTGAGTCTGGCGTTCCAAGGGCTAGATTTACACGTTCGGTGTCTTGCGCTCCAATCCAGTCCAAGTCCCCGAAAATGGTTCTGATCCTGGGAGGTCGGTACTTCTGTGCACCATAGACTATTGATATTCTTCTCGTCGGCTGCGAGCTGGTGAATTTGATGGCATTACTGATCATGTTGATGAGAACCTAAGGTAAGCACAGTTTAGCCTTTCCATCTAGCAGACTTCAGGCAGAATTCGGCTCGTGACATACCTGGGTAAGCCTGGGAGGGTCTAGCAGAACATAGTCAATATCGGCATTGTGGTACGAGTAATCCTGCAAGGCCTCTATTTCGATCTCCTCTATAGCGCTCTTAGTACTAAACATCTTAATAGTATTATTCACAACCTATTAAGACAGATATAGAGTTAGCGCAGACCGTAAATAGAAGCTTAATCTAGCTAGGAGCGCCTATTGTGTTGTGGATCAGTTAGCACTACTAAGTGCTAAGAGCTAATTTCCCAGTAATATATGTAGCATCTAGCGCAGATAGAACTTAATCCCTTCTTCTCTATATAATTCTATAGTTAATTAATTAATAACTTGTTCTGCTTAGCTTAATTACAATAGGTTATAAGCCCGGCGTATACGCTTACCTGTCCTAACTAATACAGACGAATTGTTATTATAGAGATACTAGTTTAAAGCTAATTCTACTAGCTATAGATTAAGTAGCACCTCTAGAGTTAACAACCGAAATAGGGCTACCCTGCACTTAGTACTAAATCAGATCTAACTAACAATTAGCACCTGCAAGCTAAGCGAGCTAAGAAAGAGCTTAGTAGTATAGCTAACAACAAAGAATCCGTAAAAAGCATTAAGGAAAATCGTATCCTTACGAGGACGACTAACTTTTTATTATAGAGACAGATCCTTTAGAAGGAGCTACTAAAGGAGAAAGTGTATAGATATGTACTTCATAACTTGAAATAGGCAAAGCTGTACTATAAACCTCTCCGAATTGACTACGATAACGATCCGGATTTTAATAAAGCCCTTAGAGAGTTTATAGAGAAGGATAGCATTGCTATAGGCATTCTAGTTAAGATGATCTTACTAGATCTAAGACCCAATTTTGGGAGCATAATTACGTAGAAGACTGCTAAGGACTACTACGAGACTATAGCAGCTACATACTAACCAATTATTACAGCAGATATCTATAATACCCTAAAGGATTTTAGAACAGTTACTCTTAAGCAAGCAACATCCGACAGTACCCTTAAGTACTATAAAGACTTCTAAGCATAGGTATAGAAGCACAAAATAGCTACTAAGCAGTTTGAAAGAGTATACGGGGTTAAGCCTAAGGATATCAAAATCCTAGATATAATGATTAGGATGCTCTTTATTAATAGTCTTTAGCACTATAAATAGCTCAGAAGTTAGAGGCACAATAACAAACTAGAAGGGACTAGCTAGACTCTCGAAGCAATAATTATATCCCTTAGGAAGGAAAAGCCTCTAAGGTTATAGAACTAGTAATAAGGCAAAGCCTTTGCAGTTGTCTCTAATATTAAGGTTAGGGATAACAATAAGTAGTGTTAGCACTACAAGCACAAGCATACCAATGCAAAGTGCTAGAAACAACATCCTAATAGAAAGCTATCTAAGGATAAGGGCAAGTTAAAGAAGAAGTCAAAAGACAAGGACAAGTCTAAATCAAAGGATAAGGATAAATCTAAGTCTAGGAACAAGGCTGCAGCTACTAGAAAAGATAACAGCAGCGATGATAATAACGAGTATAAATCAGATTCTAACTCGGAAGGCTAGGCTTTAGGGGCATGCGTTGCACTAACCCTAGCCTAAGCATCCTTTAATTAAAGCCTAACTCCTATTGCATTAGCATCCCCTGCAAACTAGGACAAAGCAATCAAAATCTAGGATACTAGCACATTATACTACATATTCAATAACAAGGACTAGTTCTATAACCTTAGATCCCTTAAATTACCTACTAAGTTCAGCCTTGCTTTAGGTAAGGGAAGCTATAGAATAATTAGGGACATTTACCTTAAATTCCTTTAGAAAGGCAAAACTACAAAGATGGTGCTTAGAGAAGTATTGTATTTACCTAACTCTAATATAAATCTAATCTTAGTAGAGAGGATCTATAGTAAAACTGGATACTTCCTATACAGGCTAACTATAACTATCTAAAGAAAGGATAGTAAGGTTATTAGAGAGGCAAAGATTAACAATGTTATAACAGTTCTAAAGCATGTTAGGATTGTTCCTCCTAAAAGCTAGCTAGCTATTATGCTAGCAGTTGCCTAACTAAAGGCAGACACTGTTAGAGTGCATTAGAGACTTAGCTATATTAGAAGCAAGATACTGAATGCAACCAAAGCCTACTAAGACTGTCTTAGCATTAACTATATTAATACTACCGAATTAGGGCACTATAAAGCCTATAAGCTTGCAAGGTCTTAGAGGATAGTCTTAAGGATTGTAAGAAGGACTCTAGTTCAAGCTCTAGATGAAATCTATATTAATATTGTTAGACTAGTTACACCTCTAGATATCTATAGGAACCGCTACTTGTACCTACTAACTTGTGCAAAGACAAGGCATAGATAGGATAACGAGACCCCGGACCTAAAAAATGGTCCCGCTCTTATTAAGAAGTGGATAAGCTTATAGGCCAATCAATTTAGTAAAAGACTAAAGATCTGGTTCTCAGACAATAGGGGCTAGTTTAACAACAAGCACCTTTAAAAGGCTGCTAAAATTAAGGGGTACAGGTGGGATTTCTTAAGCCCCTATATACCTAAACAAAATGGCATTATAGAGTTATTAAACAAGACTATCCTAGCAAAGGCTAGGGCTATGCTCATTAATGCAGGTTTACTATAAGAGCTGTAGAGCTATGCTGTTAAGCACTCTATGCACTTAACTAATAGGCTAGCCAACCTAATAACTAAGGAGGTTCCTCTAGTCTATCTTAAAAGGGATCTAAAGCAAGGGGGAACTCTAGTAGATCTGTCTAGGGTTAGGAGATTTGGTTGTAAGGCATACAAGCACATTAGTAAAGAAGAGAGGCTAAGAGGTACAAAGTTTATATTAAGAGCTCTAATCTACTAGAGCATTAGATTCTAGAGTAACTCCTCGACAAACTACCTCCTCTAGCGGCCTTAGTTTAACTATAGTAAAGGACTGTAGTAGTATAAAATCAAATTCTCCTATTATATTACCTTTAATAAAGATTGGACCTACGGGGATAAAGGCAGAAAGGTAAATCTAGCCCCTCCCTAAATTCAAGTTATTAAACACTCTTAGTTAGGAATTGACCCTAGTGAATCTAGAGTGGCTTTAGGATTCCTACCTAATGTTGAGCAAGCCTAGAGCAGCTAGCAGGTAGTTGGTAGACCTATTCCTTCTAGAAGTAGTAAAGAGCCGTTTTAAGCACCTTCGGGGGAGCTAGTACCTTCGGGGGAGCTAATACCTTTAGGGGAAACACCTCTTTAGGGGGAGCAGATTCTATTAGGTCTAGAGAATCTAGAAAGCCTAGTCGAAGAGACCCGGGAGCTACAGGCCCCTAAGAACCAATACTAGCCTAAGAATGCTAAGGATAAGGATACGCCGATAATGTACTAACTAAACTAGTTAGCAGGTTAGAAAAGGCCGAGAGCCGCCTTACTACTAGTAGCTTAGGAAGTTGCAATTAGGCTAGTCGTATACTAGCTAAACTAGCTAGTAGGGCAGAAAAGGCTAAGAAGTGCCTTACTACTAGCAGCTCTAGGAGCTGTAACAAAGCTAAGGTACTCAGACCTTATAGATACACCTCCTATAATATCCTCGAGGGGCAGGCAGACAAGGAGACCTAACTATAGCAATATAGCTAGGGTCCTAAATGCTGCTCTTAGGAGATTCCTAAAGAAGAAGGCTAAGAAGCTAGGGGAGGGTGAGCTATCTACACTTTATAAAGCACTAAATAGCACAGATACTAAGCTTTAGAGGGAAGCTATTACTAAAGAACTTAGGTCCTTAGATAAAACAGGCACCCTTAAATGGATCTCTACTAAAGAACTTCTAAAAGGTAGAAAACCAATGTTAAGCAAATAGGTCTAGAAGATTAAGCGCTTACCTAATAGTTCCACTAAGAAGTTTAAGGCGAGATGTATAGCTAAGGGGTTTACCTAGAGGAAAGGTGTTAACTTTAAAGAAACCTTTGCTCCAACCCTAAGAGCTGCAATAAGCAGGTTCTACTTAGGACTTTCAGCTACTTTTGGCTAGGTTAGATATTAAGTAGATGTTAAGGCTACATTTCTAGAACCAGACATTAATAGACCTAACTACATAAACGCACCTAAGGGGTTACATTTGATTAGAAAAGACCTAGAGGAATTTCTATATATAATTGTATAGAAAGGCTTATATAGTATAAAGTAGTTAGCTGCTTTGTAGTACTACGATGCTAAAGCTATACTCAAGACCCTTAGTTTATATAAAACTAAGAGCGATGCCTGCCTCTTTATTAGAGAAGGGATTATAGTTATCCTTTATATTAATAACTTTCAGATCTTTAGTAAGACTTAAGCTAGGATTGACAAGCTAATTAAAGGACTTAGGAAAACCTATACTATTAAGGTTGTCTAGATAAACCTCTTCCTAGGACTGCATATTATTAAAGACAGTACAAGTCTTAGAATCTCCTAGAAGCACTACTCTCTAGAGAAGCTAAGAAAGCATAGTCTTAACTAATGCAAGGGTGTAAAGTACCTACTTAAGAAACTCCTAACTGCTTTCGAGCTAGACTATAAGAAGGAGAACTATAAACTCTTCAATTAGATAATTAGGGAGCTGCAGTATCTTTCTAACTAGATAAGACCTGATATTACTTATGCTGTTAACCACCTAGCTAGATTCCTATAAAACCCTAGACTAGAGCATATTACAGCAGTAAGACATATTTAGAAATATATTGCAGGAACAGTTAACAAGTCCCTAGTGTTTAAGAAGAGTAAGTCTAGCAAGGTTGACATTAAGAGCTACCTTAAGGTCTACTTAGATTCTAACTTTGCTAGTAACCTAAAGACCTCGAGGTCTATATTAGGATTCCTACTCCTTATAGTAGGAGGACTAGTTCTCTAGAGATCCTAGCTTTAGAAAGAAGTTGTCTACTCTAGTACTAAAGCTAAGTATATAGTACTAACTAAAGCTACAAGGGAGCTAAAGTAGCTAAGGAACCTCTCTAAGGAAATTAGTAGCTTTACTAGGTTTAAGTTTGACTATATCAAAATCAACTGCGATAACTAGTTAACTATCTACCTTGTAAAGAATTATACTAACTCTAGCAGATTAAGGCATGTTTCTCTAAGGAACTATTACTATAGGGAATAGTATAACAAAGGGAGGATTGATGTTTAGTACATTCCTACTAATCTCTAAATAGCAGACTGGCTTACTAAGCCTAAGTCAAACAACCCTATCCTCTAGGATCTAGACTAGTAAAGGGCAAACTCTAAAGTTACTTATTTTATTCTCATTTGTTACTAGAATAGGAAGTCAAACTCAATACACTTATTTTTATTTTATTACTCTCTATAGACTAACTACTCTTCTAGTTCTCTACCGGGGCATCTCGGTATCTAGAGCAATCTTTTAGCTCTTAGTATAATATCTTAAAGCAGAAACAAACATCGAAGCTAGATTAGCCTAATCTATAGGACTAGAATCTCCCTAATACTACAAATCTCAAATTATATATTAGAAGTTTTGTCTAAAGGATCTCTAACCTTCTAAGAATACTCCTATCGCTTTAAGGACTGCCTATTTCCTCGTTAGAATTACCCTTTTCTTTATCCTAACGATTAGATAGCCTACTCTAAGAAGAGTAACGATCGGACAGTCTACTCTAAGAGGAGCTAGACGGGGCTAGTATAGCCGATCTAGAAGAAAGCCGAGAGTTTAGATTGCGACTACGACTAGCTATCGCAGTAGCTACGTAGACTCCTACCTACTAAGCTAACGCATTCGTAATCGCCTAAGCGCCTTCCGGAGTGTTCTAATTGATCCCGGAAGGAATCGGGATATGCAAGCGACGCTAATTACTGCCTGCTATACTGCCTAGGTTACGAGGCGGTAGCCTAACAGGACCTAGAAGACCTGCCTAGCGGTTAGTGCTCGAACGAGGGCGCGATACATAGCCTACAACCTAGTTAGTTCTTCCTAATTAAGGTCTTAAGTTAAACCTAACTTACTCGACTTGTTATAATAACTATAATAATTCGGGCTAGTACAATTAGTATAGGCACCCTTAAGGAACTTGCTCCTATTAACGGTTAGAGTAATACACTCCTTATATACACCCTTACCCTCCTAATAGGACTTACACCTATTATTTCCCTAATAAACAGTGCGACTAGAAGCAGCATATACGAGTATAGCCGGAAGATAGTTAACGTTAGATCTAGAGGCTAGGTTGAACTTCTTATCCGCCCTACGTATTATAGCTACGACAGTTAGGTACAAGGGAGAGTTGCTGCCCTTTTGCTTAAGGGTACGTACGAAGATAACAACGTCGGTATTGCGTAGCTATAGAGGCATTTCGTTAAACTTCGAGTTAGCTAGAGCGGTTAGGATCTTCTATAGGAGCGCGACGGTAATCTCAATCTCCTTTAAGACTGCTCTCTATTAGTATAGGAAGGCGCTAATTAGCAAAAGCCTTACTGTTATCAATTAGCTACTACTTGTTATAGCGACTAGGCAACTTCTTGTTCGGATTATCTCCTCCGCTACTACTACCTATACTAGTAGCTAGGCTACCTAGACTAGACTAAGTTGCTATAGCTATAATAGTACCTCTAATTGGAGTTAGGTTAAGTTAAGCTATATTGGAAAGTGTTAGTTGTATATTAGTTAGTAGAAAGAAGAAGTTCAAGTTTGAATAGAAAGCGCACTTCTTAAATATAGACTGCTAGGCTTAGGGTCTAAGCAGTAAGCGTACGGCAAGTACGACTTTACCTTTACTCTAATGTATATAAAAGGACTAGACCAATTAGCGAGCTAGGAGAAGCAACCCTAGGTTACTTGGATCGTTATATGTAGGTTACTTGTATCTAATAAGTTACAAGGTAGTTACACTTTAACTAACAACGCGTGCAGCAGTTAAGTAAGGGAAAATAGCCTTTTATTCTAACAGATTCTACCTAAGGGGGAGTGTTGTAGATTAGTCAGCACTACCAAGTGCTAAGAGCTAATTTCCTAGTAATATATATAGCATCTAGCGCAGATAGAACTTGATCCCTTCTTCTCTATACAATTCTATAGTCAATCAATTAATGACTTGTTCTACTTAGCTTAATTATAATATATTAACGATTGCAGTAATCGACTAGACTATAATCTAAGAATTCTTGAACTAATAGATTGCTTAAACTTACATCGATAGGACGTCCGGGCATAGGAGTTATAGTAAACATGTTCGACTTAAGGCGACTTAAGGTTAAAACGTCGTTAATTACACGTCGCTAATACGCTCTATATGCAATTATAGTAGTTACTGAATCTACGTTACTTTCGATAACTGCTTTGTAACTCTCTTTAGTATCTTCGACGTCTTTATTAAGACACGATCTTATCCTATCTACTAGCTAAGTAATTGCTGTTAATGGATTGCGCATCTCGTAACTCGTAGTATCGATCTAGAAGTACAAGATGTAATTGTAAGCAGTTGCGTTACATATAGGATTTGACTAAGCGTTATATTGCTTTCGTTTACTTTACTTATAAATTCTTCTTGTCGTCGTTTGGCTTAAGTTACTGCTTCTGCATTGCGAGATTGAATAGATTCTACCTACTTTTAATAAGAGATGTTAGTAATATAACCTATAATAAGTTTGACTCTTCCGTCCTCTATTAAGGGAAAGCTAGAGGTTAGAATCTATATAGAGGTAGCTCCTTCCTAGTTATCTTCGACATTTAAAGAAGTCTACTTGCGCTAAAGCTGAAATTCTCGCACTATCCTTAGTCCTCCTTTTATTATCGTTGCAAGGTCACTAACGGCAATCTCCCTATTACGAGCCGAAAGTTTATCGAGTATAGAAAAGATCTCCGTATCCGACCGATTATGTTTAAAGATTTCGTAGAACTGCTCATTCGCCTAGGCTAGTTAATTGTCTAGAGTCGTTTGGTACATCCCTAGTAGTGCGTGCTAGGCTATTAACTAGAGCCTGCTCTCGCTCTTATCGGCTAAGGCCTCGAATAGCCTTTCGCTCTTTACTTTCTCGTTCGAGGTTTCGAGAACGGTATTATAGAATCCTTCGATATTACCGCCGTCTCTAAAAAGAGGCAGGTACTAAACTGTGAAAGCTGTTCCTTCTAGCTGTCCTGTATAATATATGATTTTAGTTAGCCTACGGCATCGACTGCTCTCTATATCGTAGTAGCGTTTTTAAACAACGTCTTAATTTCTATAGCATGATCTTTAAAGGCTAATCTAACCGACTTTCCTATAAGATCGGAATGATTCTTTCTATAGAAAGGAGTAAACGGCGTATTGTAAATAGCGATTCTTTCCTAGCCCTAAAATATGCAAGCTAGGCGGGTGTCGGCAAAGAGCATTAGAGTATAGCATCGTAAAGGAGTAGGCTAGTTGCTTAGGGGGCTAAGAGGTGTTGCATTCCAATCTAAGGCTCTAAATATATCTGTATAGGCGTTGTCCGGTAGGCCTTCCGTCTACGTAGGAATAGCTATAAGGGTTGCCTCCTTTGCCTCGGCGTGTAAGGCATCTTGTATAGGCTTAATGCTATTATCTACGCCTACTACTATAGGAAAAGATATCGAGGGCTGCTTATAGCAATCGTTGAAAGTCTAGTGTTAAGCAGTTCCGAGAAATATAAATAGGAGTAATAGGAAAACGGAGCTATACTTGATAGTGAATCTAGACCTTGCGATTAACGCCTAGCGTCTAGCGTCGATATAGGTAGCTTTTAGGAAAGGTGCCTACCTCTATTCAGGCTTGTAGGAGGAAGAATTACGTTACATCGACTTTTAAGTTATTTAATAGGACTTTTACGACATTTTAACAATATACAACTAATTCTTCGCCTACAAGCCTAAGAACAAACCGGGCTAAAACAGCCTATAGAATACAGCTATTTGCCCTCTAAGGCTATAATATAATAACTCTACGATATTATAACAATATAAAGATACTAAGGCCCTTCTTAATACCTTAGACAACGCTCTCTAAGTCTAAGATTATATATAATAGTACGTTAATATCGCGTTCTACGACCTACGAGGAAACGCAAATTGCGATAAAAGTCTTAGCATTTGCCCTCGAGGCTGGTGTGCTAGGAATAATAGAGATAGCCGGAAACCTGTATACCTAAAGGGCCGAGAGACAAGCTTATAGAAGGGCCTCCTTATCGTAGATATCGGTAGGTATATAGTCTTATAGTCTCCTAGCGTCCGAGCCGCTAAAATCCGGGATTTTATTCGACTTTATACGGATAACTAGCCTTAGTATATAGCAAATGTAGCCTATTATTAGCTAGTAACCGGCCCTACACCTATAGGCTAGTTTTGAGCCTATATAAGAGGCCTCCTTCTATAGAGTAGATAGATTATTAACCTCGTATAGTATATTGTTTATATTACACTTCTATAATGCCTATATTATAGGGCTCTAGTTACTAGCCTAAGCGGCAGTCTCGTTATCCTATCTTGCTAAACATAGCTGCCTATATTGCTATAGGTTATATTACCCTCGGTTGCCTATACTATTACTACTAGTAGTAGTAGTAGTATTAGTTTCTGTCCTTTATTAGAGCCGAAGGTAGGGCTATCTCTTTATATCTAATAGGCTTAGGTATATTAAAGGTAGTCTCTAGGCACGAATAGCTATAACTAAAGCGAGGGCACGACAAGAGCCTACGATATAGACGATACCGAAGTATCTTAAGGGGCTATTACGACAAGTAGAGAAACCTCTTAACGAGGGCATCGCTTTAACCCCGAAAAGCTACAAACCCTTAGGACTGTTGTAGCTTAGGGCCTAGTCTATAACTATAGCTAGTTTCTAAGGACTCGGCTCCGGGTTAAAGACCTATTTAGTACCGCTTGCTCGAGATAAGCTACCGCTAAGCCTAAAAGGGGAGATAGATTAATTACCTATCGACCTTAGCGGGCCCCGCTAAGACTATTAATACGATAGCAATTTCTAGATTACAGGTCGGATGCCTAGATAGTTTCCCTATTAATTAGGATAGATTGTTTCGGGATTCGTAGCCTCGTTCGGATAGTGCTTAGCCTTCTACTAGAAAAAGAAGGTTCCCGCCCCCCCGCCTAGCTAAAGGAGATAACGAGGGTTAGTAAAGGGGCTAGTTTCTAGGATCTAGGTATAAATAGAGATTGTAGTTCCTTCCTCCGAGCGGCTTTTATCTAAAGTTTACTAATTTAAAGCTCCTAGTAGTGTCTAGGCGACCCCTAGGAGGCTAAATTCTAATACTACCCTAGGGGTAATATTAGAAGAAAACAGCCTAGTATACCGCTTTCTCGTATAGCAATATCGAAACAAACCAAACCTACAATATATACTAAAAGCACTTTCCTATAGCATTTTATTTTAACTACTTTACAATAATCGAATAAGCTCTAGCGAAAGCGAGCATTACGAATTAGCGGAATCTTCGGAATCTAATAACCTACCTAACCCTATTAACGAAGAAATTAGGCGACGACTAGTTATTATAAGCGCTATCGACCTAGGGGCTATCGAGCCTTCTACGCCCGAGGCTCTTTATAACGTCGTTATAAAAATAATCTAAGGGCAAACTAAGCTTCTCCGTTAAAACAGGCGTCGCCTACTAGAGCTAGGAAGCGGTAGAAACCCTTTATTCGAAGGGTAGAACGCTACGGCGTACGTAGAACGCTTTAAGGACAACTTAGCCGAGTATAGGCTCGAAGAGGAGTCGGACTAGTACAAGGTCCGGTCCCTTACGAGGACTACTATTACTAAGCTTTACCGAACCCTTAGAACCCTAGTTAGCTACCTAGAAAAGGACGATAAGTCTAATGCTAACTAGGAGGTCTTTAAGCAAGCCTTTATAAGGGAGTATCGGGATCGCGATAGCCGTCGTATTAAAGGTAGTCGTACGTAGCTTAAGAACCTCTATATAGAGAGGCGTACCGAAGATAACGACCTAAAGGAGTACGTCCGCGAGTTTGTTAAGTTAGCGGACGGCATCGACTAGTAGGACCTCGAGAATTCTTAGAGAACGAGGCTACTCCTTAAAGGGTTGCCGTAGTCTATAGCTAAGCGTATCTTCCGTCGCTATAAGCTTAGCGAAGCTAATCCTAAGACCTTTAGGAAGTATAAAGAGGTCCTAGAGGCTATTAAGGACGATATTAATAGCTCCGCCGATGCGAAGAAGTTTATTTATAGCGAGGACCGGAATAACCTAGCTTAGGTAAAGAGCGACGCCTCGGGAAGTAGAGGACCTAAGTTCCTTCCTAAGTCGTAGAGCGGTCCTAAGACCGTAACTCCTACTATTACTAAGCACTCTTAGGACGTTACGGACTTAGCTAAATCCCTAGCCTAGCTTAACCTTAATGCGAAAGCACTATAGCGAGTTAGGGAGGTTATTAATACTAGTATACTAAAGGATAAGCTACCGGTCTACTAGGTTTCCGATCCTAACTACCCTAAGGCCCCTTTAGTTAACGTCTACGCTATACGGAAGATCTATTCTAACTTAGATAGCAAGTGCTAGATATGCGGCGGTTTCAAATATATTTAATTAGACTGCCCTATCTAGAAAGAGCTTCTTAAGAGGAAGCTCGTTATACAAGTAAATAGTCGGTTCTACTATACCGATACTAGCGATAAGATTGACTTTAAGTAGGATCGTAGAGCCCCGAAGCTGCCTTAACTTAAGAGTCTTCTAGAGAAGAAGTATAGTAGTAAGATCGAGTTTAAGGATACTAGGAATAGTACCCTCGCCGCTATTGCTAAACGAGAAACTTAGAAGGTTAGGGCAAAACAGGTTAAGGAGCGGAGCAGTAACGGTACTACTAAGCCTATTAAAGTTAACTTTGTTTCTTAGGACCCGGACGTAGTTACTAATGTTTACGCGGTTACTAAGAATAGCGTAGATGTCTACGCTACTATAAGGTCCTAAACTTAGTCGTCCTAAACCTAGTCCTAGGGTAAGGGTAAAAGCCCGTAGAACCCTACCCGCCCTAGTACGGCAGCCCCTACTAGGATACTTAAGAAATAGGCAGCCGATAAGGCTAAGAAATAGCGGGAATTAGTCGCTAAGACTAAGACTCTCTAGATAGCTAAAGACCGTATAACTCGAGCTAGTATAGCTACTCCGGAGGTACTAGAGACTCCCGATATCGATATAGAGGACGATACTACCGACCTTAGTAGTACCCTAGGCCTAGCTAACCTACCTACCTATAAGCGGAAGTTATCCGATCTAAAGAGCTTTCGCTTTAATAGGTATATAAAGAAGTACGG